GCTGTGAACTTAACCTATTTCTGGTCCTGGGTTATGTGAAAACTGTTTTTGCAGTTGTTTGCTCAGGTTACACTCTTGCAGAAGGACTCAAAATATGGGGTAGACCAAGTCTTTACCCAGTATCCAGGAGTCTGGAATGGTCAAAGCCAAAGCTTATTAATTAAAAAGCCAGAGATGGGACCCAGAACAAAAGATCATGGAAGTCTCTTCATTGGAGGCAGGAGTGATGAAGTAAAGGTAGAATACTTATGCAAAAGAGTTCCTTCCCTCTCCATACTCAGGACAACTGCTTAATTCTGCAGTCACGTGGGAGCTTGGGGCTGCCCTGAAAATGACATTGGCTCTCCCTGTTCTGAAAACATGTACGTAGGACTTGTTTCCATTGGAGTTCCGTCATCTTCATTCCCACCTAGGACCAAACTTCTGCCCAGTAAGACTTCTCATGTCATAAGAGTTTCTACAAACAAACAAAAGCCCTCTCCCTAAATAGCTGGGATCCATTTATAGTTGACTGTATTACCACCAAGTGTATTTCAGCTGACCTCTGCAATCCTTTCGCCTAAAGAAGTTAGCTTATTGTGGTGATTTAGACTAATACCTACTAGGATATATCTTGACAGCTCTTAGGATATTAAAAAACAAATACCCTTCTACTTTCAACAGTCTTTCCTTCCCCAATTTTAAACCATAATTTTATGTATCCATTCAGTTTTCCATCCATCAGAACAACACTGTTTTGTTTTCATGAAATGTCTTATTGGTTTCTTATGTATTTTCATCATTAAATGCACTTGGGTTATAACTCAACTCTTTGTGCAGAAGCTGGCTTTTCATATTGTCATTAATAATTCATAAGCTACATAGAATTACTTTAGGCCTTTTAACCAACTATCGTGAATCTTAGCATATCGAGTGTCATTTTAGCTTCCAGTTTAGAAAAAACATGATTCTGTGACTGGCCTTGCTATCTCAGGAGACCTTGAAAGAGAATTTTATTCTTGTTTCTTTTAAAGTCCAGGATGCTTGAAAAACCTAGAGTATAGAAAATGCTGCATATCAGAAGTAACAGAAGCGTGCTAATTAAGTGATCTTACAGACTGATAAGCTCCCTGGGGATCAGAGAAGGCTATTGTCCGACAAGTTCATCACAGAAACCTCCATGTGAGGGATAGCAGTCCAAATCTAGAAGACACCTGGGGAGTCCTCTGGATTGGGTATGAAGCCCCATACATACTTCTTCCCAGCCTGTTAGGAAACTGCTGGTGAAAGCAGGGCTGCCTTACTAGGTTCAGACCTACCAAATCTACCTGGCCAAACTGGGTGCAGAAGCACACACAGTGCTTTTCTAACTTTGACATTTACTCCCCAAAGAAGCAAATCTAAGAAATTTGAATGTATGTCTGGGACTGTTTAAATCTGGGACTAATAAAAACTTAGCATGTATTTATTCAGAACTCTACCTCAATTAGGCACTTGGGGGTTGAATTTCTTTGTTTTTTCTTCCTCTTTTCTCTTGGTTCTTCCTTTCTGTGTTGGAAAGACACTGGGTTTGTGGAGCGTGCTTTTCTCTAAGTTGTTTCTTTCCTCTTAATATCAATTTTCTGTGAACTCCCATTGGGATCAATACTTCTAAAGTAAAGCAACTTCATTATAATCAAGCTGAATTTGTGTTCTTTCAGAATAGTTGGTTGTTTTGAAGCACTAGTATATTTCAAAGAAATGAGGCCATTTCCTTTACCAGTTCATGTTTTCACAAGATGAGGTATTACTGAAAGGTAGAATGATTTTTTTGGTCACTCTGATGTGTATAAAATGGCTACACAGAACCTTTATGAATTTTAAGGAGCAAAAGGAATAAAAGAGGACTTTGTTCATCTGAAACTAGAATTTTTTAATTAACTGAAAATCATTCTCTATATTTGAGCACATCTGATTCTACTAGAAATGTATCAAAGATGAGACTGCTGAATTTCACAATTGTATTTTGCTTGTATTTGTTAAGTGTGATAATAGCATCTTTCTGTTTTTTTAAATCAAATAATATTTAATCAAGGAGATTCTCTTGCCCATTTGTAGAAATAGCACCCCCAATGGACAAGGTTACAGGACTTTTGTTTTGGAAGAGGGCACAAGTGAGTGAGGGGCAGAGAGACAGAGGATCCCACAAGGGACAGGGAGAGAGAAAGATGAGGGGGCTCACCTGAAGCAGGGTGTGTGTTTATCCAAAGCAGGGCTCATGCTCATCCCAAGTGGGGCTTGAGCTCACCTGATGTGGGACTCACACTCACGAACCGTGAGATCATGACCTGAGCCAAAGTCAGATGCTTAACTGACCAAGCCACCCAGGCGCCCTACAGGACCTTTTTTTTTTTATCAATGTTTTAGTGTACTGCTTCTCAGACTTTTAATGTACATATATATCATCTGTGGATTTTTTTTTTTTTTTTTAGACTTCAGATTCTAATTCAGCAGATCAGGGGTGGGGCCTTTTTGACCAGCTTCAGGTGATGCTGATGGTCTATAGACCACACTCTGAATAGCAAGATTTTATATTATCTTTATGGAAAAATCCCAAATTTAATAATTCTGAAGTTGAAGTGTGAGGGTAGAATCAAATATGTTGACATTTCTAAGGACGGGTCAGTGATTCAATCTGTACCTTCATAAAGACAGATCTGACAGTTCATGTCCTGGTGGACGTTACTTCCTTTGTGCCCCTTTACTGTTCTTTTAGTAGCTAAGTAATGGACAACCTATATTCAAATTCCTTGAGAATGGAAATTATATTTTACTGTATTCCAGTCTTCATATTCCTGGAGCCTACCAAGGTCCCAGGCACCTAATAGATGGCTAATTAGTGGGTTGAACTGAATCAAATTGAATTGATTGAATTGCATTGGAACAATATAGGGATGACCTGGTTTTGTACCTTTTAAAACCACTTCCTCTTTAAAAGATTTATGTTTTTCTTATATATAAATTTAAAATTCTTTCAGTAATGTATAACTGACCAATATCCAGAATTATATTTTTTAATTTTTTAAATGTTTTTAATGTTTATTTTATTTTTGAGAGAGAAAGAGAGCACGAATGAAGGAGGGCAAAGAGAGAGGGAGACACAGAATCTGAAGCAGGCTCCAGGCTCTGAGCTGTCAGCACAGAGCCGGACACAGGGTCAAACTCATGAACTGTGAGATCATGACCTGAGCCAAAGTCAGACGCTTAACCAACTGGTCCACCCAGGCGCCCATATCCAGAGTTATGTTTATTAAATTATAGTCTCTTAAAATGTAACATTAAAAGAATAAGTGCACATACAAACTAAAGGTAATGAAGATTTAGGAATCTCCAAATTTTACCTCCAATAAAAGGAGGCAGTCATCTCTTATTTACAAATTTTGTTCTGGGGATAAGAAGGAAGGCATTCCTGAACTTTTCTGGCAGATTCAGACCTCTTTTCTCACTTCTGAAAGAGTACAGATTATTATTGAGTCTTCAGTAAATTATGCAAATCTAAAATATTACAGTTAGTATGTTTTCATCCTGCAAGGATTTCAAAAAATCATAGGATCGGTATGCATGTACAACCTTAAATGCTATTTTTTTTATTATTTCCTTTCAGTATTTGATTTTTGCTTTGATTTTTTTAACAGCTTTCTTTAGATATTATTCACATACCATGTGGTTCACTCATTAAAAGGCTACAATAGGCTTTTAGTATACTCAGAGTTGTCTGGGCATCACCACAGTCCATTATAAAATATTTTTATTACTCCAAAGAAAAATCCTACACCGCTTAGCCACCCTCCAACCCCAGTTCTTCCATCTCCTAGCAACTGCTAATCTACCTTCTGTCTCTACAGATTTACCTATTGTGGACATTCATATAAATAGAATCCTACAAGGTGTTGTCTCTTATGGCTGGTTTCATTCACTTTACATAATGTTTCAGGGTTGATTTGTGATGTAGCATGAATCAGTACCTCATTATTTTTTATGGCCAGATAATGTTTATTTTTGTTAATTAGTTGGACATTTAGATTATTTCCACTTTTCAGCCATTATTAATAGTACTGGTTTAGGGGTGCCTGGGTAGCTTAGTCAGTTAAGCATCCGACTTTAAGCTCAGGTCATGATCTCATGGTTCATGGGTTCAAGCCCCACATCAGGCTCTCTGCTGACAGCGCAAAGCCCGATTTGGGTCATCTGTCTCCCCGGCAACCCCTCCCCTGCTTGTTCTCTCTCTTTCTCTCTCTCAAAAATAAACACTTAAAAAAAAATACTGCTGCTTTAAATAATGATATATCAGTTTTTTGTGAAAATTTATTTTTATTTTCCTTGTATAACTAGGAATGGAATTACCAAGTCATATATTAATTGTCAGTTTAACTCTTTGATGAACTGCCAGACTCTTCCAAAGAGACTACAATATATTACATTCGCATTAGCAGTGTATAAAAATTCCAGTTTCTCTACATCCTCCCCAATGCCTGTTATCTGTCTTTTTCATTATAACCATACTTGTGGGTGTGATGTGGTTATCTCACTGTGGTTTTGATTTGCATTTCCCTGACGACTAATGATGTTGAGCATCATTTCATGTGCCTGTTGGCCATTTGTATGTGTTTTTTGACAAGTGTCTATCCAATTCCATTGCCCATTGCTACGTGTCTTTTTATTATTGAGTTGTAGGATTTCTTTATATATCCTGGATACAAACTTTTTTTAATCAGACATGATTTGCAAAAATATTTCCCATCCCATGGGTTATCTTTTTGCTTGCTAGTACCCTTTGAAGCACAAAAGTCTTCAAACACTTTATTTTTTCTTTTGGTGCTTGTGCTTTTGATGCTGTATCCAAGAAACCAATGCCTAATGCAAGGTAATGAAGGTTTACTCCTATGTTTTCTTTTAAGTATTTTATAGTTGTAGCTGTCACGTGTAGGTCTTTGATCCATTTTGAGTTAATTTCTATATATGGTATTCTTTTATTTTTAAAGTGCTGTGATCTTGGCTACCATGCAAGTCTGAACAGAGCCTTGAGAACATATCTCTCTGCAGAATATAATCTTGAAACTTCCAGACATGAAGGCTTAGACATTATTGAGAATGCGGTTGACAATTTGGAGCCCCGGAGTGATAAACAGAGATTCATGGAGATGTACCCTGCGGCATTCTGTCCCCCAATGAAGTTTGAGTTTCAGTCTCACATGGGTGATGAGGTCAGTGATATATTCATATATATATATATATATATATATATATGTTTGTTTGTTTTTTTAATGTTTATTTTTGAGCGAGAGGGAGTACAAGTGGGTTAGGGACATAAAGAAGGGGGGTACTGAGGATTCTCTGAACTGAGAGTCGAGAGCCCAATGCAGGGCTTGAACTCAAGAACCATGAGACCATGACCTGAGCTGAAGTCAGATGCTTAACCAGCTTAGCCACCTAGATGCCCCAGTAATTGATCATTTTAAAAGTAATGAATTGTCTTTTCACTTATATTACTCTTCACCTGCTATACCCCAACAGTTGTCAGAATTCTCAATTGTTTTCTCCCTCCTGCCTTCGCATGGGATCTTAGCATAGTTATATGCTAACATTAGCCACTACCACCTTTGGGTCAAATGCCTACAAAGGCCAAACCTGGGTGCAGTCTCAGTTGGCTGTAAGTACTAAACCATCTCAGGATAGTTAGTCCTTCCTCTACCTGTAGACATTTAAATTTAAATTCAAAACGAACCATTTTGCTGGCCTAGTAGAATCTATCTGAAGACTTCTTATGATCTTGATTTAAAGATTTCCACAAAGAAAAATAATTGTAAATGGCAGGAGAATGGGAGAGAAGGGGAAAAAATGCAAAACAATTTTTTAAGACTGTAGTTGTCTCCAAACTGATAAAATGAGCATTAGAAATGATATATAGTATTTTGGGTTCTTTATATGAATTTAGCTTTCTATCCTATTTTACCCAAGGGAAAAAAAAATTAAGCCGTTCATAAGTTACAATGGTATATTTTGTTGTCTGCGGCTGGGAAAACAAGAAGACCCAATTAATGAGTACGCTATACAGCACTTGGTATCCCAGCTGTGCAAAACAATACTCATAGATTAACAACTCAGTTTTAGCTTATTGTGGTGACGGTATGTTTTTAAAAATAGACATAATAGCCATGACAGATTTCTTTAATGTCATCTTTTTTTTTCTGAGATACCTAGTGTTAATACTTATATATGTGTGCATGCTGTATTTATAACCTAATACTATATTTGCTTGATTTGATAGAGTAAAATACTCGACTAGAAGTGGTCAGCAGTTTTTATGCCAATAGCACATGAATTTGACAGGCGAGTGGCTCATCCTACCCAGAGTTGTGTTTCCAAAACCAAATAATTACTGTTAAAATTTTTCAGCTATGGATATGTCAAACACAGAATGATAAGATGTCACAAATAAGTGACTTCAATTGGGTTAGTAGTTTTTTCCTTTTGGGTTTTTTTTTTACTATTATTATTTTTAATAAAATGAATCCATTGCCCTTTTTTTATGGCCGGTTCAGCCAGGGAGCAGTAATTTCTGTGATGTGTCAGAGACTTCCATAAAAGGAAACCCACATCCACTGGGAACATTTCTATGACAAGGAAGATGAAAAGAAACTATTTTGCTTCTGGTGCAACTTTAATGAGCTAAATATAATATAATTAAAAGACTCTAATTGTGACCTTAGCTATAATTGAGATCACAGCCAAAATGTCTTTCTGCCAAGACCCCAAGGGGCCCCTTCACATTCATGGTGAATCACGTGATGTGGCTGATGTTGGTAAAGCAAGCCATGGTTAAAAGATGATAATAGTTACATTTTCTGAGTCTTTACTGTGTGCCAGACAGTGTTCTAAGTGCTTTATGTACATTAGCTCATTTCATCCCCACCACAACCCCATGGTGTAGGAACTCCTCCTATCCCCATTTTACAGATGAGGAAGCTGAGGGTTAGTAACGTAACACAAGCTCCCGTCTGACTGTCACTAGGAGGCTCTGCTGCCTCTCCTCCTTTTGCCTGTGTGGTTCATTTGGATCATCCCTTGCACTCTGCCCGCTGCCCCCTAGTCATTCAGAATTCCCACAAGTGAGACCCCAGGATCAGAGCTGACTCTCCAGCAACTGCCCCATTTTTAGAGCGAAGCTTCCTGCAGCTGCTGTCTTCCCAGTCATCCCCAGGCCCTGCAGCTGCATTCTGCCCTTGCCACTTACGTAGCAAGTCCATATTTAAAACCGAAGTGTTGAGGCGCCTATTAAAAGGAAATACGTAATTGGAATCTTGAGATCAATGTGACTCGTGCAGCATCGGAAAGGAGAACCGTGCCTCTGGGAGCTGGCTCAGTGGCCCTGTTGTAACTGTGGTTTCTGATTCCCCATCAGGTGTGTCAGGTCAGCGCTCAGCAGCCCGTCCAGGCCGAGCTCATGCTCAGGTACCAGCAGCTGCAGTCCCGACTGGCCACGCTGAAAATCGAGAATGAGGAGGTGAGCGTGCTCTCTGCCCCGCAGGGAATCTGAATTCTAGTGGAACCGGAAGACATTTTCTCGTGACCTAGGCGTGTTTAATATTTCAAATGCAGTCTCCTCATCAGGCATTTTTAGCTAAATCATGGCTCCTAAAATACTCTTTCTTTACAGAGGATAAATGCAAAGAATCTGTATTCTACTAGAGATGAGTTCTTCACCATGGATTCACTGCATACACATGAAAACACACACTTTTTTTTTTTTTTAATTTTTTTTTAATGTTTTATTTATTTCTAGGAGAGAGAGAGAGAGAGAGACAGCGTGAGCAGGGGAGGGTCAGAGAGAGAGGGAGTCACAGACTGAAACAGGCTCCAGGCTCCGAGCTGGCAGTCAGCACAGAGCCCGACGCGGGGCTCGAACCCACGAACCGCGAGATCATGACCTAAGCGAAAGTCGGACGCTCAACCGACTAAGCCACCCAGGCGCCCCACACATTTTTTTCTTAAAGGTGTAATTCATACAGAAAATAGTTCCCATAAAGGATTAAATTCAACATATGTGTCCCGGAATACACAATAGTATGTGAAATAAAACTTTTGAGTGACATGTTAATTTAATCCTAACTTTTTTGGAAGTTAGTACTTTGTTTTTATAAATTCTCAAAATTTTTGGTAATGAACATGACATTACTTATACAATTATTACAGAAATCCAATTTTAAAATAGTACTTGAATGAGAATAGGAAACTATTTGCTGACATTAGTGGATTTAAATGGATAGAACATAAAATGTGAATTATAAATATATGTTCAACCAGAAAGCAGTCATACAATTCAGCTGCCTGTTTCTGAAATTAATTTAATTGGTTCTAAGCTCTCTTTAAAGAAAATATGAACCACAGATTTTCTAAGGCTCTCAGTTGTAATTTACAGGAACCCAAATCAACCTTACTTAAGTTAGAAAGTTTATTTAGTGGTCAATGTTTGCATAAGCTCGCGAATGATTGGATCTGTGTTTCGATGATATTATCTGGAACCTTTTTTTCATTACTTTGAAGTTGTATTTTTTTTTTTTTCAACTTAAATCCAAGGTAGTTAACATATAGCATAATAATGAGTTCAGGAATAGAATTTAGTGATGAATCATACTTACATATAACACCCAGTGCTCATCCCAACAAGTGTCCGTCTTAATTCCCCTTCCTCTTAGCCCTTTCCCACCATCCAGTACCTCCAGCAACCCTCAGTTTGTTCTCTTTAAGAGTCTGTTGAGGCGCCTGGGTGGCTTAGTCGGTTGAGCGTCCGACTTTCGCTTAGGTCATGATCTCGCAGTTCGTGGGTACGAGCCCCGCGTCGAGCTCAGAGCTTGGAGCCTGTTTCAGAGTCTGTCTCCCTCTCTCTCTGACCCTCCCCTGCTCACGCTGTCTCTCTCTCTCTCTCTCCTAGAAATAAATAAAAAAAAGAGTCTCTTATGGTTTGTCTTCCTCTCTGTTTTTATATTATTTTTGCTTCCCTTCCTTTATGTTCATCTGTTTTGTTTTTTAAATTCCACATACAGGTAAAAATCATATAGTTGTCTTTCCCTGACTAACTTATTTCACTTAGCATAATACACTCTATTTCCATCCATGCTGTTGCACATGGCAAGATTTCATTCTTTTTGATCACTGAGTAATATTCCTGTGTGTGTGTGTGTGTGTGTGTGTGTGTGTGTGTGTGTGTGTGTGTATACCACATCTTCTTTATCCACTCATCACTCAGTAGACATTTGGCCTCTTTCCGTACTTTAGCTATTGTCAATAATGCTGCTGTAAACATTGGGGTGCATATGCCCCTTCGAAACAGCACACATGTGTGCTTTGGATAAATTCCTAGTAGTGCAATTTGCTGGGTTGTAGGGTTTTTCTATTTTTAATTTTTTGAGGAATCTCCATTCTGTTTTCCAGAGTGGCTGCATCAGTTTGCGTTCCCACCAGCAGAGCAAAAGGGTTCCTCTTTCTCCACATCCTCGCCAACATCTGTTGTTGCCTGAGTGGTTAATGTTAGCCATTCTGACAGGTGTGAAGTGGTATCTCATTGTGGTCTTAATTTGTATATCCCTGATGATGAGTGATGTTGAGCATTTTTTCATGTATCTCTTAGCCATCTGGATGTCTTCTTTGGAAAAGTGTCTTATTCATGTCTTTAGGCCATTTCTTCATTGGATTATTTATTGTTTGGGTGTTGAGTTTGATAAGTTCTTTACAGATTTTAGATACTAACCCTTTATTTGATATGTCATTTGAAAATATCTTCTCCCATTCTGTCAGTTGCCTTTTAGTTTTGCTGATTGTTTCCTTCACTGTGCAGAAGCTTATATCTTGATGTGATCCCAATAGTTGATTTTTACTGTCAAGTAAGAAGTTAATGCAGCTGAGATCAAAGAGGTTGTTGCCTGTTTTCTCCTCTAGGATTTTAATGGCTTCCTGTCTTACATTTAGGTCTTTCATCCATTTTGAGTTTATTTTTGTGTACGGTATAAGGAAGTGGTCCAGGTTCATTCTTCACGTTGCTGTCCAGTTTTCCCAGCACCACTTGCTGAAGAGACTGCTTTTTTCCCATTGGATATGTTTTCCTGCTTTGTCAAAGATTAGTTGGCCATACATCTGTGGGTCCATTTTTGGGTTCTCTGTGCCACTGATCTCAGTGTCTGTTTTTGTGCCAGCAGTGTACCATCTTGATGACTACAGCTTTGTAACACAGCTTGAAATCCAGAATACTTGTGATACCTCTAGCTTTTTGGCGTCTTTCTGGTTCCATATAAATTTTAGGATTGTTGTTCTAGCTGTGTGAAAAATATTGATGTTATCTTGATAGGGATTGCATTGAATATGTACATTGCTTTGGGTAGTATTGACATTTTAGTAATATTTGTTCTTCCAGTCCATAAGCATGGAATGTTTTTCCATTCTTTTGTGTCGTCCTCAATTTCTTTCATAAGCTTTCTATGGTTTTCTGAAGTTGTATTTGCATGTGTTGGTAGTTGTTTTCCGTCATATTCAGATAGCCAAAGCTACGTGGTCCTATAGCTTGCCATATCACCTCATCCCTGTGTCCTTATCCCTGAACTAGGATCCTTTATTGTCCTGAGTTAAGTCATGAATGCTTCTGGACCAACCAATACATGCAAGAAATGGGATTCTGTCATCGATCAACTTATAAGTTGTGCTCATTCATAGAGCCCTTTGGCTGATAGCTCCAACAGAAATATGTTTTTCTAGAGACAATTCCTGAAAGGAAGGAATGTGGGATAGAAAAAGAAAACAATCATAATTCATCCTGATGAAATGAATTACCAAAATTCACTTTGGTACTCTCTTTTATTTTAATCCCGCTGGATTGTATTTAGCTACGTGAATGCGTATTTGTTTCTGTTATGAAAGAGTGATGTGTTTCCAGAGCAGTATAGTTTGGGCAAAGTGCAGTGCAGCTTTCTGGCTTCCATTCTTTCTAGAAGAACCAAACCACCCCTTATTCAAATGTGTGTGTTTTAAGATGCGGCCATGTGGTTAAGGCTTCAGTTGCTGTGTAGAGCCCCACAAATGAGCCTTTCCAAAGGAAAGCTGCTGCTCTCCTTGAGGGGTTTTGTGGACACATCACAAAATACTTGCCTAATGCAGTTTCTTGGATCCTGATAGACCTACAGTTAGTATGTCTAGTGACTTCCTGTTGTTGTGGGGTTTTTTGTTTTTGTTTTTGCATATCCTCCTGCTGTTTTATTTGGAAACAGACTCTAAACTCTAGGAAAATAATGTGTCGTGCCCAGGGTCAAAACTGGCGGCCCACAGACCTGTTTTGTTTGGCTGCCACAGTTTTGGCCCGTTGAAACTGAGAGAGTCTGCCGACTCTGCCCTGGATTGCCTCACAAAGGGAAGAGCTGGAGTACTTGAGTTCCACCTTGCCATAGCCGTTCAGCTCCCAGTTTTCTTACACTGGACTGTTCATTTCTTTTGCCCACCTGGCCTCTGCCGGCCTTTGAGGTTTTGACCCTTCACATATGCCCTTTTGGGCATAACGTAGAAAAGCAGTGTCCTGGTGATAGTAGCAGGCAGTGCTTTCTGAGAATTAAAAGATTTATTTTTGAAAGAAATGAATTAGATTGTCCTGGTATTTCCAATGAGCATGACTAGTGGTTTATGATCTGTTGATACGGAACAAATTCACTGTCATGGAATGGGATTCCCATTGAAAGGAAGATTTAAATTGAATTTTTGACAACTGGTAGATTTCCATTGGTGTAGAAGGAGGAAACAATGTTTCAGAATATTTCAAGATGCCCTGGAAGAACCTTGGTTTCCCAGAGCAGTTTGGTCACCATCCAGGTCCTGCCGGAGGATGAGCCAAAGGTGAAGCTCAAGTCAGATGATGAGAGTCCTTCAGAGCTGACTTAAGGGGTTTCATTACTGTGGGTCAGTTCATTACAGTACAATAAATATTTGTTCAACAACTTCTACGTTCCCCATATTTTGCCAGGTGCAGAGAGTGTAGAGATGAATGTCACAGTTAGCATCTATCTAGCATGAGAGCCAAACCATAACAAGTCATTTATATAATGTAAAAACTAGGAGATGGAACTTGGAAATAAAATCACAATCGTTGCTGATTCAGAGTCCTATATAGCACTTTTCTCTACCATAAATAAAGCATTTGCCTCTGATCGTCCACAGATAGAGGTCAGAAAATTGACCCATCACTATCAAACCAAAGTATGCAAGTAAAGAAACATGTATAATTCTGTATAATTCTCTGCCCCTGCACAGATATACAAGAAGTCCAGAATTCACTGGCTAGAGTTCGGTTAACTAAAAATAATTATGACTGCCTAGTGAAAAGATAAAAGTTGAAAGAGAATTTCATCCAAGTTTATAAAAGCATGGATAGTGCAGCTAAGTTAGAACACGAACCTTTTCACCAAATTTTAAACAACTACAAATATTGGGCACCATTTGAAACTGTAGGAAGCCTCCTTAGAATGAAAT